GAATCTGCAAATGTGTGTCCCAATCTCTCCTCACAACACAAATCTCCACACGAGTTTGCAGATCTCCGCCAATTGAGAAGGTCCTGTATGAGTTGATAAATTGTCTGTATTTCCAGCTCTTTGGAGCAAATAACTTAGACTTCTCAGCCATTATTTGTATGTGTGCACTTACAGATTCAGCCACATGTAGATATTTTTTACACATTTACAATCTGATCACGCACACCACAGGATTGAGCTACAGTTACACCAACTCTCCCTCGCACATTTGTAAACTTTCGCCGCAATTAAAGCTCCTAATCAAGGCTCATTCATACCTCCACAATAATATGAACCTAATAGTCGGCTGCTTACAACGTTGGAAGGAAATGAACTAGAACAATTTGGTGCTGAGAACATTCCAAGAATGTTTGAATTATTTTATGTAATTACAGAAGGCACACATAGACGATGCCCGGAGGTCAGCTTGATCTGTAAGAAAACTTAAAAAACCTGGAAAGTAAAAGTTTCTGATGTGCTGACTGAATGAATAACTTCATGAGAGCGAGTTTGACTCACAGCGGGCCTGTCTCATTCTTTATTGAACGGGGATCTTCGTAAGCTGCAATCGTGATGTGGGTTTATCTCTTTAGGTCATCGTACCTTCCTTCAGAGAGGAGCATTAAGAATGATGACTAACACTTCATTCAAAAGTTTTTACGTCAATGACAATGCTAAAGATAGACTTCACTGGAATGTTGGACTGGAATTCTGGAAACAGTGTGTGTGTGTATGTGTGTTTTACATTAATTGTGTACCCTGCTGTGGATTGTGATGACAAGGCAATTCCTTTGATCTATCTATCTATCCTATCTATCTATCTACTATTATCTATCTATCTTATCTATCTATTCTAAATCATCTAATCTGTCTGTTCCTCAGTATCAGTTCTATAACCATACATACACAAATACATAGATACATGTATTAATTCATTCATTCATTCATGAATCCATCCAGGCATGAAATGTTCATCTTGAATGGATGTCTTTCCCCTTCCTGTACACATTCACAAATCTCAGTGCATATTTACACATTATTTTACACATTTACAAATCGGAATATGCACACACAAATTGAGATACAGTTACATAACTCACCTCACACATTTGTAAATAGTTTTGCCGCAATAATAGCTCAATACTTGATGATGTATTAAGTTTGCGTACAGTAAGTTGGGTGGTTTGAAACTGCCAAGTGGAGAAGTGTGAACCTCAGTATTATTTATAGTAGTTTGGATTCACTTCTCCGTTTTGCCCAAAAGAACATCTTAGGGAACATCAATCAACATTAACTACATTTCAATGGCTGTTTAGAGACAGGACGCCAAAAGGGTGTGATAAAGTCAGTCACCTTGCTCAAAAGGCAGAATTTCATTCAGCAGTGAAAATGCACTCACCTCAGGCAAAAAATATTCAGAGCAGGCTGTACAGACTAGAGGCTGCACCATTGAGGCAATAAATTGGCAAAAACTGACTGACAGCTATACTGAGACTGACTACAAATGAGGAGCTGCTCGGACAGATGACTGGGCCAGAGGATGAACTGAGGCATGAAACTCAAGATTGACATCTGGTTGGCAGGTGTGGAATGGCATGTCTCTGTTAGCAGGCAAGTCAGAGGAGGTTAGCATGCACAAAACATTAGCTGAACTAGAGGCAGTAAAGGGAGATGACAAGGTCGGCGCAGCTGTCGCCATGACAATGATCTTGGGGATATTTCTAAGGTGAAGAGATGCTGTTAAATCTCACAGGAGAGGCTGTGTTGCTTTATGCTTCGAAGGAGCTCTTCAGCTTGCTTGCATGAGAACAGGTGTTTTTTAATTCATTAAAATGAACTAATTATATAAAGTTTTATTTAGTCATCCCATTGGGTTGTTTTTAATTAAAATTCAAACTATGTAAAATTACAAATTATTATGTATTTTTGTGTATATTAAAGATAAGTATAATCATTTTCAGACAGGGTTCCTCATAATTACGTAAGACATAATTAGTTTTTAGATCAATATAGGAAATTGAATTTATTGTTTGCTGTATTCTGCATAGTCCTTTATAGCAAGTCAAGACCATTGTGCTATAATAGAGTTATACTAATGCCACTGGTGAGTGTTCAGTGACAATGCATCTCATCTCATTATCAATTACTGGAGTTACATGTGTTGTGCTGCCTATGAAACACATACAGATGATGATGATACTGGAGACCCATCCAGGGTGCCTTTTGCCTGATGCATGTTGTCATAGGCCTAGGCCACGCCACATGATCCTCAGTAGTATAAAATAAAAGTAAACTAACAATGTACAGGACGTTGTTAGGCTAATGGCAAATGTGTGATAACATGAAATGCTTCTGAAAAGCAGCTCAGTATCTCTCATTTTGAATAACCCTATTTGACACAACTGCCTTTAACATTTTTCAAAGCTCTTGTGTGTTATTGTTTCTTGAGTGGTTAGAGATCCCAGAATGCCTTTCACCACAGTTGCTTACTGTAACTAACAATTGCAGACACACTGCATGCATTCCTGTGTATAGTCACACAAGAGTGTGCGCGTGCACACACACACACACACACACACACACACACACACACACACGACAAGCGCAGAAATTGGAAAATGTATTGCTCTGATGCCTTTGCAACTTACCTTTTTTTATTTGGGGGTTTTTGAGCCAAATCCACTTCAGAGTATTAAAAAATGTTCATGTGTGTCTGATACCTATACCTGTATTGTCCTATTTTTTTAAATAAATTAAATGCAATAAAGTATGAGAAATTGAAAGCTTTTGAGTGCCCAACCTTTCATAACAGGCAAGTTCATATCTATTTATTATTGGTTGACAAAATAATCTGTGCTGCCACATCATAAAATAACTTGTGTGCGTGCTATCACATTGCAGCACAGTAATTCACTTTTGTTCGGAAGAAAATGTTCTGTCATCTCTTTCTCCCTCTCTTTCTCTCTCACTCTGTGTACAAGCTGAGCATCTCAGAGCAGAGAGAGGCGGTTTCTATGGCGACGTGAAAAGGTCACCTTCAGGAAGTTCTCTGTGAGCGTGTGCAGAATGCCAGTTGGATAATCAGGCTTCCTGTAATGACTGATAACAGACCACAGCTCATTAGAGGGAAAGAGAGAGAGATGGGTTGGGGGGATTGAGAGAGATTATTAGTCATAGAGCAAAGGAACAATGGTACATTTATACTAATGGTATGCCACACTTACACAGTGTGTATGTCTCTGTTAGGGCACTGTGTTGAACTCACAGGTTGCTCACAGATGCTAATACCACATGCGGTGCAGTATGCTCATTATATTCATACACCAAGTGACACGAATCTGTTTATCAGAAACAATAAAGTAGCCAAGCAGATATGACTTTAACTGTGTGCACTGTCCCCTCTAATTCAGGCAGATGATGATACAGCAAGCAAGTAGCAAACTGGGTAGCTAGTAACATTAGAGAAAATTAATTGACCATATTTGTCCAGTTGGCTGATCATTAGGCTAGAAACAAGAGGACTTACAGTAACTGGCATGTAGGACAATGCTACCTGGCTGCCTGGCAGGACATTGTGACCTACATTAGCAGCAATGCTGCAGCTACATTGAAGCATAAGACATCTACAGTGGTATGACAAGAGCTGATTACAAAGAAAATGATCATTTGAATAAACATAATTGTAATCTCCACACGAGTAACATTAACCTACTCAGAACTACTGCTGATATTACAAATTGCCCTAATCAAGATTTTTTGTCCACAAATCTTTTTCTAGGCCATATTTTTAATCCAGTGTCTGAAAGTGACATCTCC